AACTCGGTTCCTGGCTTAAATCCTGCTCTGGCTCAGCCAGGCAGAGATGCTGGTAGCGGTGGCTGGGTTCACGCCCAGAGCAGGCTGCATTTTGGCAGCCAGGACAGCCAAGCAGAGCGACGGACACCCGGCCGCTCCTTGGAACAAGCGCGCGACTTGTGGGAGCCTCTGGGACACCCCGAGCTGGAGGCTGTCGTTTCTGAGCACACAGACGCATCTCGCGGAGAAAAGGATCGAGCCGGAAAAGCAATAGCAAGGGAACAAGCACGGAGCAGCGCTGCTGTTCCTGCCACCGACACAGCCGGCGAGCCCTGCGAGGTACCGAGGCGGCACTGCAGCCTTCAAACAGTGGGCTTCAAACAGAGCAGGGGCTGGAATAGTCAAACTTTTTTTTCTGCTGATTTTTTAAATCTTTTTTTTTCTTAGGCCTTTCAAAAAGTAATTATGAAGGTTTCTTGCAGGAAGCTAAAAAAACAAAACAAAACAATATTTCTCTGTAGAGTCCTATTACGATAATTCTTCCAGGCCCCCAAGCCATTTCCCCACTGCCAGCTCTGCTGCTTCCTCGGGACACTACATCCACGAGCCCTACGTAGCCACCGACGTCAAGTCCTCTCAGCAAAACTTTTTAACCCATGATTCAGAGCATTTCCCAAGACAAAGAGAAGATCAGTGGCTCCATGAATTAAATAAAACAGAGAGAAGTCAACAACGTGCCCTAGCCCGGCATCCCATCTCCCAGCGTGGGGACCAGCCCTCCTGGCCAGGCTCCCTCACACGGAGAAGGGCTCTCAGCCGTGGCCCCATGAAACGCAGACCCTTCCCCTGCAGTCCTCCCGCTCTGCCAGCCCTCCATCTATTTTCAAACCTCAGCAGAGACATCCTCCTTCCACTCCATCCCTCCTGCACCCAGACTCTCGTTATCCTCTCTCTCCTTGTATTATTTATAAACTCTAAATGTGCTTCACTCGATAAAAGTGTTTGGGGAGAAAGTTTGTATGAAAAAGGCATTACACAAAATAAAGTTATATGGTACTGTAAATGGAGAGGGTTTTTTTTTTTTTTTAAGTAGATCTTCTCTGCAGAATATGACCTTTCCCAGAGCTGTTAGAAACACTTAGTGCAGAATCAGATTTAATGACAAGTAATAGGCAGCAGTTTAAATGCACTTAGTGCAGGGAAGGGAAGCCAGGTAGAGCTTATTCAAGATTTGTTTTTGTTGGGTTGGGCTGTTTGTTTTTTTGTTTTGGCTTGTTTTTTTTCCTTCCTTTTTTACGGGAGGCACTTGGAGCCCTTTTGGAGCCTTTCTGCAAAGAGGAAATTCTTTTGCTGTTAGCAGTTCCTGCAGAGAGAGCACTCCAGCTGTAGGACTCTGATGAGGTTAAGCATTAATTAAATCGAACCACGAGAAAATAATTACACACATGCATCCGTCAGGCCAACTTGTCACTACCCAGTAACAAAGTTGGATGCAAACTCCATCAGTGGAACTGTCATGTGGCTGTTAAGGGAAAATAAATGCATCCCAAACGGACAATTTCATTTAGGGGGAGGAAAAAAAAAAAAAAAGAAAGGATTGCAAAGGATTAATGAGGCGAAGGGTTTGTGTTTGCAATTGGATGTAAAATGCAAACATAGTAAGTTGTGATATCATCATATAACCTGAATGTTCAATAGCGTTCCAATCGCTTGCACGCCAGAGGGACAATTAAATGCAGGCCATAAAAACAAAACTTCCGAGACGGGAGAGGAGCAGAGAAATGCATGGAAAAGACATTCCTGATTCAGCAGCAGCACCCAGCCAAGATTTTCACAAGTGAGCAGAAATGTAAATTGTGAGAACAAGAGAAAGGGATAGGGTCATGAGGAGCTCTTTATTGGAGACGCTAGAACTGGCTCGACTTTCAGGGTTGCTCAGTGATTTCTGATGAGGGAGATTTTAATTTTGTTTTTTTTTTCCTAGGGTATCTCAAGCGAGGACTCCCAGAAATGGAGACACTCAAAAGTACAACCGCTGTCTGAAATTCATGGTGTACGTTATACCATTAATGCTTAAGGCTGCACAAAGGTCCCCACTGTGTCTGAGAGTGTTTGCAATTATGAGCGTTAAGAGTTTCAAGGAGGAACAGAGACCCAAGGAAAATACGATCCATTAGGCATTGAGAACTGGGCTGGCAAAGTCTGTTTCTTCTTCACTCCTGCAGGCATGAAAGCACCTGCCCACCACCGCTGCTCCCAAAGTTCTGGATTGGATTCACACAAGAAATCAAGAAGCAACATTTTTATCTGAGGCCCTTCCAGATGCTGGGAAATTAAGGGCCCCCACTTCTTGCAGTGCCTTTGGGTCCACTGTAACCAGCTCAGGACCAGAAAGAGAGACCTGTAGGTCTCCCTCTCAAGCTCACCCAGCAGCCTGGCACCCTCCTCCCTGCTTCCCCCATCACCTGGCCTCGCTTGCGTCCTGCCTAGGAAACTCTTCCCCAAAGCAAGGTCTTGGGCTTGTGAGAACCTGACTTGCACAGCTGGGCCCACTGCTGAAACAGGAAACCTGACATACTTCAGATGCACACTCAAAAGCCCCCAAGGAGACAGACACTTGCAGAAAAGCAGAGTACAACAAAAGACACGTCAGGGAAGATTCATGGACAGGCAGCTGGGTGTGCTCTGGTCTCAGAGCGGTCCTTTCCCCGCTCCCTGCGTGAAGCTGGAGAGCACAGAAAGAAAAGCCTCAAGCTAGACAACTTCCTCTTTACAACGCCAAGTGTGCTGCTGAGGGGCTGTGTTTTGGACTCAAACCCAAGGGTCTAGCCAAGTGCGGTCCTGGGGTTTTTTGGACAATCCAGCTTTAATTATATGTGGTTTAGGACTCTGTCAACGAAAGGATGTGGAAGAGAGGGATGGAGGGAGACCTTACTGAGTACCACAAACAGGTTGTGAAGTGGGACACAGAATAACACCATAGTTGGGGTTGGAAGGGATCTCTGGAGACCATCTGGTCCAACTCCCTGCTCGAGCAGGGTCTCCTAGTGCAGGTTGCCCAGGACCATGTCCGGTCGCGTTTTGGAGGATGGAGACTGCACAACTTCTTTGGGTAAGCTGTTACAGTGCTCAACAACCCCCCAGTGAAACCCTCGCCCCCCTCAGTGACCCTCAGCTGACACCACAGCTGACAGGTAAATCCAGGCTGGGAGTTATGCCCCTGTTGCCTCCCCATCTCAAGCAGAGATGTTGGCATGATCTGGTCTCCAATGCTCATGTTCAGAAAACGCTAATCTGGGCAGAAAGATCACAAGAGGGCAATGGGGGCATCTCTTGCCCTGGCACCTGTTGGCTGTTTCTACACAATTCACCGCAGCACTGCCCCAGGCCACAACCACCACCTCCCCAAAGAGGTCAGCCCCAACAGAAGGCCACTGCCTGGAGGAGGTAACAGGACTGCTCTGCAGCTGCAGGGATGACCTTTTGGAAGACAGAGACATGCTCTGAAGCAGTGCAAAGACAAGGAGTAGCAGGGAGGCAGATGAGAGGCAGTCCGAGATGAGAACCTCTGGCAGAGAGCAGGTTGCAGGCATCTTGCCTTGGGGTGAGCAGGTGACAGCGGGGCTGGCTTGGTGCAGGGCTCGGCGCCACACTTCTGCCTCGGGCAGCCAGACACTGCCGGCAGGAAGGTATCAGGTCTCCTTCTAGGCTCAGCTGCAAGGCTTAATCAACTTGCTCCATTAGTGACCAAAAAGCCTCTTGCCTTCAGGCAGTCCAAAACAGAATGGAAATAAAAATAAAAGCAAAAACAAAAAAAAAGACGGAGCAGGGAATTGGGGAACTTCACCGGACAGTCATTGTGGACCCCCAAGCACTCCCCTGCTCATGCTGAAATCCAGATATGTGTATTTGAATTACTACTACAAAACAAACCAAATAATTTAAACCAGTTAAAGAGTCAGAACATTTTCTTCACACTAACTGAATAATTTATGGGCAGAGCTATAATAAAAAAGCCCTCTCCAGGCCTCTATTGCAGGAAAATGTATCCAGAATAAAAGATCACATTTCAGACTCATAAATAAATGAAAAACAAAACCAACAGTAAACAGAGAGGAAACTATTTCCTCCCTGGCTTCCCGACGCTGCCACAAAGACCCGCAGTGCGCTAGGCAGACCGACGCAGAGCCCGCTACAGCCGAAGGGCCTCCTGCCCCAGTGGGATGGCACCCAGCGACCCCGACACACCACCTCCTCCCCAGCCAGAGTCCAACCAAAAATCTGGACCCAAACTCTAGGCATAGCGTCTGCACCCACAACTTAACTCACAACAACTGGTTTTTCAGTGGCAGCACTGGGAGGCTATTCTCCTCTTGGGAGGCAACCTAGGGTCCAAATCCTGCTCATAGAACTGTCCCAGCCAACCTCCTCCTTTTGCTCCAGAAGTCCAGGAATAGCTATCAGGGATACAAATAAAACTGGAGCGCCCCCGAGGCACTTCTGCATGTGCAGCTTTTGGAGCCACAGATTGCCGTTCTCACCCCATGTGTGGCCCCTAAATAAAAAAAAATGTCTAAACTAAGCACTGTGCTATGAAGAGAGGCCCCAGAGATGTGAGTTACAGCCAAAACAAAATTCACCTCTTCCCCTGGAATGAAAGCTTGCACAGAAATCACATTTCATTCCCATGAAACCGGGTTAGCTGGGACAGCCAGAGGCGCAGTGATCACAGACTTGCATCAGACCTAGACAAATTCCTGGGAAGGACACGAGGTGACACCACTCCCAACCGCCTCACCCAGACCACCCGGAGGATGTTGGATTTTCCTCTCTTCACCTCGTTACAGAGGGGGTCCGCAGTCCCGCTCTGCACATGCGAGTGGGCAGAGGTCCTCGGCAGAGCACTCAGTGATTAGGGTGAGGAGCTCCTGTCTTAGCCCCTGCCAGACTCACTCCTCTAGACGTGGTCAAATCCATGGCACTGGAGGAGCAGTTGGTGACTGTGCCAGGTGGAAGCCTACCTCGGGGCCGGCTCCGGCGTTTCCGTCTCCCCACCGACGTGCTGCGCAGCGCAGGCTGGAGCTGCCCGATCTCAATGGGCGTGTTGGTGCGGAAGCTCTCCTTGAACTTCTGCATCAGGGACTCCACCGTCTCCTGTGTCACCTCGGGAGCTGCAACATCAGCAAAGGGACCGCAGTTAAAAAATGTCTGGACAATCATGTACCCACCACCCTTCCTAGCTGGTGTCACGCTTGCGGAGAACAGCGTGATCCAGAGTCAAGGGCATGGGATAGAGCACTGTCAACCTGGACTGCCCTAAGAAGCTCCCTCAGGGGACCCAGCCAACACTTTCCAATTCTTATTAGAGTAACAGAACTCAGTAAATTGTGAATTTAAGAAAATCACATTTTTCACACCACTTTCCAACATTTGCAAATATTCTTTGCCTGTTCCTGCATGTGAATGCAGGGGCAAACGGAAGCGCCATGGCCTTATTAAAAGTTGCAGCATGGAGAGTTCAAAACATACAGGAATGCTGTCACTAGTCACAGGAAGCCCAAAGGGGGCTGTGCTGGCTTAGGATTGTGTTCAACTCTGCTTTGGGAGTTTGCAGTCAAAACCTGAGGCTTGGCAGCCTGTCAGGTGAATGTGTCCTCCACGACAAGTAAATTGTGGAGCTGTATAAGGGTATGCAAGGCTGATAGCTTTAAGTGAGGTGAACAACCCGCATAGCTGCTCTGGGTGCACGTTAACACATTCGGCTGAAAAAGGAAGTCCCTTCTGGTCCTCTCAGGATGCCTTCCAAAGGCCTTCACTTACATGCAGAGTGACAGCACCTGAGCTCAGAAAACAGCTGCCGCACAATAGATCACGCTTCTCAATATTTAAGCAACTCCCATCCTTGCTTTTAGACACCCACCCAATCAGTAATGCTGGGAAAAAAAATAGAATTGTCCTATCGAATTTGCCAGCCACCTGCACAACAGGCAGTTATTGGAAATAATGAAAACACTTGCAAATGAGGAAAAAAGAAAATCAAGACCAAAAGGTTTGTAGAAGACCTTCTGAAGGCCACACAGGTCTCCCACGTTTAAGCAAATAGTTTGACCTCTGTCAGCTCCTCGCATAAACTCATTAGCAGAACATAAAATGGAGACAGAAACAGAGGTTAAGAGTCACAAAGTCTCTTTCCGATTAGTTCATGAAGCTCCCCCTGCCTCCTCGCGATGTCTATGCCCATTTGGAGTTGACAATAACTGCTAGCCCTACAAGCATCCCGCACCCCATCAGACGAAGGACCTCTGTCTTGTCCCCTCAGCCTCTCTGCAGAGCTTTCCCTGTCACTCTTGGCAGATGCTGAGCAGCCCCATGGGCTGCACACACCTTCCTCGCTCCCCAGCTCCCTTTGCTTCTGCTCGCTGCAGTGCTACTTCCTCCCCTTTGGCTTGCAGGGAGCCCTCCCTCCGGACAGCACCGACGCCTTCTCAGGATCCAGAACCGGGCTCGTCAGCACCTCTGCAGCGTGGCACTCACCTGGGCTACCGCCAGGCAGAGATGCTGCTCCAAGCTCCCTTAGAGCAGTTCTGCCCATCACCCTTCCCTCCGCGATGCTGCCCTCCTCTGCCTGGCTCGGCTCGTTCGCCGGTGCTGCCGCAGGAGCTGTCAGCACCGGGGCCGTGACCCTCTCCTCAGCAAAGGCTGCCAGTCACGCTTACATCAGCTGAACTCTGCAGCAGTTTTGCCCCATGTACAAACGTCACCTGGGGAAGTGAACTAGCTAAGCTCCTTCGAGTTAGCACCTTAGCCGGAGCTCCCCAGCTATCCAGGATTGAAGGGTTAATGCACTGACCTACTGCATCTCCTAGGCCCAGGGATACATTAGATATGTATTTTAGCTGGAGATATGCGGACACCTGGTGAGCTCAGGATGCACAGCTGCCCCGGCCCACAGACTCCAATTCCCTTAGCAGCATGCGGCGGAGTTCATTTCAGCAAGAAAGGTGGCTGTGGAGGACGAGGCATTTATAACCCTAGACAAGGATGTGACTTAAATGAGGAGTCGCCAGTGGAGATGGAGCAGGCTCCAATAATTACCTGCACAGAAGGCAGGGGTGAGAGGATAAACCCTCGCAGGAGGGACAGCCCGTATCGCAAGACCCCTCGCACGGCTGCGACACCAGATCAGTCAATGCCCGCAGCTGCTTCCCCAAACAGAAAGCCCATAAAGGATGGTGGGAGGAAGGAAAGGAAAAAAGCAAGAGAGCAGAAAGGCAACAGGCGCGCGCCGCAGCACAATCGGAGGCGCTGTGCCCTGCCGCTGCCAGCAAGGCACTTTCACACCGGGGGAGCACACCGCCAAGGCTCTGCGCGGCCCTAAAACTGCTGGACACGATGATGATTCCCTGCTCCTTTGAAAAGGTTTCATCAATGCCAGAAATAACTCACCTGAACTCCCAAACGTGCGTTTCGAAAGCGCTCCCGGTTCCAGGGCAGGCTTATCAGCACAGACAGGACCATCTCCGCGCCGGCCGACCCGCCGCAGGCAGCAGCAGCTGCTGCGCAGGGACGCAAGGTGCGCTGCCAGCGCGAAGCGAGCGCCTCCAACCCGACACCTCCTCGGCAAAGACGGATGGAAAGGACCCAGCCGCTTGCCGACAGTGCGGGATACCCACTGCAAACAAGGTGCCGTGCCCGAATGCCGCCCCGCTCAGGACCACCCGCGCTCTGAACGGATCTGCCTGCGGAGATCCCCTAGGGAGCCCCTCAGTTTCCCAGGCCAGGCTTTAGACTGACGCTGGGTGCTTTTCCACACCTGAACACTGCAGACAAGGAATCGAAAAACTGCTGGGGCCATTGCGAGGGGGAGCGCAGGAGAAGAGCAGATCAGCTGCCATGCCCCATCTGCGCAAGCAAACGAGCAGGGCTCCAGGAGAGGGTCTGGCTGGACACAGCACTTCAGCAGTGCTCCACTGGTCAATGGACGGACAAGGAGCTAACTCACGGCTGGTACAAGCATGGAAGGGCAGAAACCATTTCAGGAAAGCCTGAAAGCACAGCCTAAAAGATCAGCTATGTTATGTCCTCTGTTATTCAACGCTGGGGTCCCCCAAGCATCATAAATCACAGGCAGAATCCCCCAAGCTCACTCGGCGAGAGAGCTCTCAGGCTCTGGATTCATGGCAGGCACTGCAGGATACCGCAGTGTTGGATACCCCAGCAGGCAACATCACAGGGGAAATCAAGTGTAGGAAAGGCCTCAGGAGAGCATCTAGTCCCATCTCCTGCGTCATTCCCGACAAGATGTGCCGAACCCAATCTTGCAGCACTCCACTGAGGCATCCAGAAATGATGCAATGCCATCCGTTAGCACCAGCTACGGTTCAGCCCCTTACATCCTACAAGTGCCCTTTTCAACAGAGCCCTACAGTGTTCGAGGGGGAAAGCCCTTTCCCGGAGGCATGGCAGAGAGAAGACCGCAGGGCAGACAGCACCCTCCGGAAGGGCACATAGGCCACAGCTCCTTCACCTCAGAGGGTGGCTCCGCTGCTTTTCTGTAGCATCTCAGTTGCTCCCGACTCTCTCACCTCCTTCGGCAGCTGCACGGGGACAAGAGACTAGCGTAGCAGGGCCTCCCTGCGAACAGACGGCAATTTATTTGAACCTCGGGGCTGTGCAATATATAACATGTGCAAGTAGAGCAGGGATCTTAGGGACTGCCTGGCTAAAGCTTATTTACTGAAAGGAGGCCAGAACAAGAGCGTGGTGAGAGGAGGAGGAGGGGGGCGAGTTTGCAGCTAGCTAGGAAACGTAGAGAGGTCATAGCTCCTTCATGTTCCTTGCTCGGCTGACAGGAATAATCAGCAACGTTGTGATCATACCCCATCTGGTCACCATAGTCAGCACATCAATCCAGAGGCATCTGCTTGACTGTTTTGTTAGTGGAGCGAATGCCAAAAGCGGAGTTGGGGGGGGAAGCATTATCTTCTTGGGGAGATAGCCGACAACTGCTGGGACTATTTGCAACGTTACAAATATTTACTCAACCTCCAGGAAACAGAGAACCCAGCGTGCCCAGTGTGTCTCACTGCTCTGTATCTCGCGTGTGCGTTGGCATCTCCTCGGCCTCTCCATGCTCCCAGCATGGGAGCAAAGCAGGGTAAGCCCTTGCTGGTGTGACCTCAGCTGATGGAGTTTGACCTGGGCAGCATAGCTGAAGCAAGAAAAAACCCTCGTTGCCAAACCAAGGGTAGTTGTATTTAATCTGAACAATCATCAGGGGTCAAGGATTAAAGGAGGGAGCTTTGCTCACTGCCAACTGTGTCAGAAGGAAGGAAGAAGATACCAATGCACAGCAAGGAGACACAGCATTAGCAGAGTAGCAGGTCTCTGTTGAGCCTGAAGACGTCCATTATATCTACACCGCAGATACTGTCCACCACAAACTCTGTACCTTGGCTTTCTTACCCGGGGATGTCCATAGGCAACAATCTGAGCCTTTACAGCTAGAGGTTTTAAAAAAAAAAAAAAAAAAATCACCCACTCTGGTTGCTGTTGCTCTATCTGCAGAGGCAATCAATCTGTCGCAGAGACCCACAACCACATGGCAATCACGAGTTAACACACGCGCAGCGTTGGAGGCTGCAGACATCCTGCCTGTGAGGGCTGCTGGAGGCTGACTAGCCGTGCACACGCTGCACAGTGGCATTCGCATCGCCCCATGAGGTTTTAATTGCTCGTAGAAGGACGGGAACACATGCTGGAGCAGGGCGGCGCAAGGCTTCAATCAAATATTTCAGCTCTGCCCTGCGAAACCTGCGTGGGATGCCAATGCTAAACATAGGCTCCCGGGCTGACCCACGCAGCCCTGCTTTCGCACGCTGCCCTCCTCTCTCAAACAGCTCTGCAATGCCATCACCAGCACTTAGTCACTGGTGTCTCCTTACAGTTGTCAGCGTTGGCCAAATGAGACACACTTTTCGCTGTGATACAACTGTCCTCTCTCTGAGTGAAGTCTGCCAAACCATCTTCTCTCCTATCCCCCGTTTCCAAGGTAAAGCAGATACATTCACCAGGACTATTTAGCTCACATCTTCGTCACCACTTTGGAGAGTTTTTAAAAGCCTAGCAGAGATGGTGAGATCCACCCAAAGGTTTGGCACACCAGTAGCGT